GAGCCCTAATATGAAGAATAAATGATTTCCGATCCATCGACTGCAATCTAAATAATTTTTCCTGAAGTAGTTGATACTAGTCACTGCTGGAAAAGGGGATAATGAGCTAAATTAATGCCATTTATAACAGCATCATTTCAAAATTTTGTAACCATCCATGAATTAAGTTCTTTTAGTTTGATTTACAGATTCAATTTTTCAGTCTTCCAAAAAATCACGAAATTATTGAACTGATTTTCTCTGTAGATTAACACGAGGAATTTATTTACCTAAAGCAAATATTTTCAAGAATATTATTGATAGTTGCTATCTAAAAAGTTTCAAGAGAAGCGTACCTTTTCACCTTTGGGACCCTGAAATCCCAAGCCCATGTAGCCCTGAAAATAAAAATTACACATAGATTAATTAATTTTATCAGCAGTGCATACATATATATAAAAGTTTTTTGGAAACGGCAAAAGCTAAGAGAGGATATAAGAAAGTCTTTTTAATGCAAAGATGAAACAAACAAATAATTCATGGCCCAAGTCCCCAGCTGTTTTCTTATATCCCACCTCCCCATAATTAGTGAAAGAATATACATAAAGTGAAATTTACAGTACACTTTTAGTGTCAGCATGCTCCCTTTTTTCAACATTTTACTGACAAATGGGAACATGATTACATTTTGTCATTTTAGATGGATCCAAATAATCTCAAAATGCTGTAGTTAGTACTGACTTAGTAAAGCCAGATAACTGATCTAAACAAATCCTAAGAAGTCTAAAAATTAGCTTAAAAGACACTTTCTATGATATCCCATTAAGATATAAAACTAGATCCCAAAGCATTAAAAAATGATTACTTTAGTGCCATCAGTTTCCGGCTTTGGGGGGAATGAGTATAATAAAGTAATAAATAAAGAGTAAATAAATAAAAGGAAAAATAAATAAATAAATAGACCTAGTCTTCATAATAAAAGTCCTTACCTTCTCACCTGGGGGTCCTGGTGGCCCTGGAGGACCCTGCAAGATAGGACATTTTAGCAGAGATAGTCTACCTAGAATACTATAAGTAATTTCTCTGTTTTATATAGCAAAAATGCAAACACTTCCATTGGACTAAGACTCAGGGCATTGCTCTGCTATTGTCATAAATAATAAAAATGAACAGAACCTAAGATCTTCCATCAGATCCTGTTAGGTAGGTATAAATGCATGATCTAGCCAGCACCTAGACAAGAGACAATCCAGGAAAGCATAGCACACTGCCCTGGTACAAGTGCCAGTTGTGACTCAACTCTACTACCTTTCAAATGATTAGTAACTTCTCATTGCATTCTTCTGTACCTTTTTTCAGTTTTCTTTAGCATAAGTAGAATTCTAACACAGCTCACTTTAACAAGGAGACAAATGAGGCAGATTTTTAATAGACGGAAGTAATGCATCCCTACTAGATGTAAACTGCATCTAACAAATGAAGAGAAGATATTAGGTATCTAATAAGACCAAAATTTAAGGTAGTTAAAATGCCTTTGATGTTTGATAACTATCACAGACAGCTGATGTTGACCTGCTGTCCACAGCACATTTTACTGAGGCCACCATCTCAGCAAGCTGAACAATCTCAGCAAACATTTTGATTTAGATGTGGCAGAGGGGTTATTGATTTATTTTCTATTAATTAAATGGGGCAGAAGGGAAGGGTGAAGTTAACTACAAAAAAAAAAAAAAAAAAACTCCACAAGAGAAGATGACTCTAGGGGCAGAAGCCCATGTACTCTAGTGGGCAGAAGCCCACTCCTGGCATGGCACAGTCCAGGATACTGAATATGAAGTCCGGAATCTCAGAGGTTGTCTTTCCCAAACTATATCACTAGCCATAATTCTTGGCTGCTTCACAGAGCTTTTCTGTAAAGCTTTGTAAGTGAAGTGCAAATCAAATCACCATGAAAAGAAACTTACTGGCTCTCCTGGAAGCCCTGGCGGCCCCATTGGCCCTTGAAATCCTGGGGCTCCAGGTGGACCCTGCAAGGAGATAAAAAAACATCTTTAAAAGGTGATATTTGTTTGGCTCATAATTGTTACTGATATAACTGTAGCTCACTGCTACTCAAATATTATTTAGACTTACAGGTAGCCCAGGTTGACCAGGGAAGCCTTTATCGCCTTTTAGCACACTAGGAGGTAAAAGACCAATAACTTCACCTGGATCTCCCTATAAGAGAAGAAAAACAATAGTACTTAAACATCCATTCAAATGCATTCAAAAATCCTGATATTAAGATGAGAGAAAAGTCTGAGCTATACAAAATTCGGAATCACTTGGTATGATCACTTAAAAATCACCTTCCTTCTTTTAATTCACCTGAAGACCTTAATAGTCAAATTTTCTTTAAAGCTATCAGAAGAAATTCCAGGAAATTTTAAATTCTTACCCTTACTTTCTATATTGTAATGAGTAATGGCAAAGATTTTCCCACCAAATCAAACACACCTACAGTTAGCACACAACTGGAGGATCTGGTCTGGCTGCTGACAGAAGTGGATAACTTCACAATTTCTTTTTCAGCCAAGCTAATTAGCCTTATGCCTAATTCTGAAATCAAAATTTGTTATTTGTGCATTTGTAATCATAACTCCAAAATCAAGTAGGAAACCACCCAAAAAGAATCCACATCATTTAAATTAGGAAATGATGCAGAAACTACCGATATTCACTTCATTACTTCTCTTTTTTTTGATAACAAAAGAACCCCTTTTTCCTACTTTTCTGAACAAAATTGTTGTATTTTTGATTAAGTAGTTTTATTTCAAGAGTTTTGCACCTATGCATACATGTCTAGGAAGAAACATTCAAGTACCTCCATTTTTTTAGACTGAGTTATATCTTCCTATGACACAGAAATGGAAAGAGGCCATTTTATGGCTTCAGGTGCTCTTGTCATTACAGATCTGAGACTATATTTATGACTTGTACTTAACTTGTAATTTCAAGTTATATCTACTAATTCATAGAGTCAAAGGCCTCTTTCAGTATTTCATACTTTAGTTCATTAGATAAACTAGTTACTAAATACTGAGTGTAACTTTTTGTTTATGAAAATTGTTTAGTATGTGTCAGACTATGTTTAGGTTGTGGACTACATGCCCTTCCTTTTTAAAGATTATGAAACTACTCAGATGACTGAAATGTCAATAATATCAAAACAAATATTTGGATTACAAAATAAATCTACATTTTTATTCATAATTGTGTGGCTACCCTGCTACTTACACATCATTAAGGTCATCTACTATTTTTATGCTGTTGTAAGCCATCTGTAATACTTACACTTTTAAGATCTGCACAGAACCATGCATATGTTCAATTGCTATGAACTGAAAGCTGTCCCACCATCTTTATTTAGTGGGACTGCAGGGTAGAATACAAAGTGCCAATACAATTCTTCAGTCCTTAAGTAAGGACTGATAGTCTTGGAGGGTGTAGAGTTCATTTTAACTACTAGGGTTGGAAGCAGGCGGTGAACACATTCAGAGCACAATGTACCTTCATTCCAGGAGGTCCTGGGGGTCCCTGTGAAAAAATAAATAGTTGATGTCATTTTCCACTGTAGTGTAAAAATTACATTTTATACTCTACAGTTTTACATAATTATATTTACATTTCAAGAATCAGAGTTGAAACAAGTGAATTAAGCATGAAATAATCTACTTACTATGCTTCCAGTCAATCCTGGTAAACCTGGAGGGCCAACTGGACCTCTTTCACCCTAAGGTAAACAGGGAAATTGGTTTTGTTTATTGAACATACTCTTGAAGGGGAGTGGGAGAGATGCTATAAACATGTAAATGTCACCTTTGTGCCATTACATCCTGGAATGCCAGGTGGACCTGGAGGGCCATCTTGTCCAGGAATACCCTAGATGAAAAGGAAGTAAAGAAATCAGCAATATAGCAGTAACACAGATATAATTAAAGTTCTTTGTAAAAATACATATTCATCTCACATACAGGAAGTCCTGGGTTTCCTGGATATCCTGATGATCCCGGTGGGCCCTGTAATTGACAAAAAACAATCTTGAGCTTGGAAAACCTAACTGACAAAATTGCAATGAAAAACTACAGCTCTAGTCTCATCTCCAGTAAGGACAGTCAACATTGAGTAACAGTTTCTTTTAAAATGTCTTTGCCAGTTTCTTTTAAAATTTATTTGCAAAATATCTCTAATCTTAAAAACTTTCAATCATGGCCTTTTAACACTGGAAAGCTTTTTTTTTTTTTTTTTTTTTTTTTTTAGTTTTTAGTTTTCATGAACTGCACAGGCTTTCAGGCTTTTTCACAGCCATAATTTCTAGCATGAAATTTACTGTAGGCACCTCTGCAGGCATATTTATAATTTCAGAATCCATATGAGTTTGGCAATTTCATCTTCTGCATTAAGAAAGTACTGGATTGAAATATATTATTTTTTTTCCTGAGCAGCTTGACAATGTAATGCATCGGGTGTTTGCCTTGGTACATCATTTTCATGCTACTAGCTTATTTATTCATGGAACACTTTCTATTATGAGTGTTGTGAAGCAGAAAATGTGAAGATGTGAATCCTTGAGCTCAGATAGTATATTTTCATCTCTCCAGACTTTATCACTATTAATACACAGCCTACCTGCACTGAAAAAGCTGAGCACATTTACCAGGAGACACTAATTTACAACAGAAGTCAGGATACCTCCAGCTTTCATGAACAGCATCAATTGAAATAGGGATTTCTTGAGCTAACAAAATACATCCTCTAGAGTAACTCAGAGCTGTAAATGATTCAGTAAATTCTGAGTCCTGCAGCAACTGCAGTCAAATTTGGGAACAAAACTGAGATAGCATTTTGAGGATCTTTGGACAAGAGGGTATAGGTAAAAATATGTGTGTATCATTGCTAGTCAAATCATTTGAATCCCCTTTTGCTGTTTCATTACAAAATGTGAAAATGCTCAAAGTGAGCTTTGCACCTCACCAAGCACAAAAAGACATAGCCTGTTGGCTAGTATAATCTGCTAAAATAAATGTTATGCAAGAAACATGTTAAACAGAAATAACAATGGGAAGGTTACAAATATATTCAGAGACTCTCCTGGCATTAAAAACATCAGGAGATCTTTGTTCCTGACTTTAATGATTCAACCCCACCCCACGAACATTATTTTTAATGTGTATGTGTTCATGTACCAGCTTCTCTGCTGGCGTACTTAAAGGAGGTTAGCGAACAAGCATAAAGAAGAATTTTGCATGAGGTAATAAGGGTGGTTCATATTCAAATTGGAAAAAAAAACAGTCTTCTTGGTATGACAGAGAGATATCAAAGGAATATTAGAACCAGTGCTTTTACTGCAGTGGTAAGGACCGGGTAAAAGTGTCAATGAGCAAAGGCACTGGGTGCACAAGGCAGAACTTCAAAGGTAAGAGCAAGAGTTTTGAAATCCTTGAACAGCACAAGAGGAGGCCATTAATTAACTGAAATAGAAAAGACTAACCCCATCTTGCACTTGAAGGTAACAACAAAGACTTAAAGATATGTTAACTTTCAGATTGCAAAAATGTGAGTAGGTTAGAACTCACTCTTGTTCCTTTTGTTCCTGGCAGTCCTGGTTCTCCAGTATCACCCTATAAAGGAAAAGAGATAGGTTTGTCTTTTGTAGTAACAACAGCTTAGGGAAATCTGAGTGTTAAAAATATTAAAGCTTTAGTTCTTACCTTAAGCCCTGGTGGCCCAGGGGGACCTTCAGGTCCTTGCATTCCAGGAAACCCAATCACACCCTGTAATCCTGGCAAGCCTCTTTCACCCTGGGAAGAAGAAAACCCATTAGCAACAAAACACCTGAAAGTGCTTTTGCCAGCTACCACTATAACCTCTGTTTTTGTGCTAGAAAAAGCTGCCAATTCCTGGAAGCTGCAAATTCAATGTTGCCTTCGCTGCTATAGGAATGCACAACACCACTCCTCTTCCTACACATTATTCATAATAGCAGATTTGGAGACTTTTGTCACTTAGTCTTGAGTTTCAGAGTGGTTCAGAGCCTGGGTGATTCAAGATATAGTGTCTTATCAAGGAGTGCAATATGCACCCTGCATGTGTCAATGTTTAGGTTCTTCTTTGCTGGGGCAGACAGGAGCCAATGTGTGTTTCTCAAAACATTATACTTCATCTGTGCTCTCTCCCTACAATCCTGGATGTATTTACAAAGATAAACCAGAGACAGATAAGAAATGCATTCATACTACAGATCCATACTGCAACTACTACACTTTCACTGTATTTGGATTACCAATGAACACAAAGTAAATTCTGCACGAGGCTTGCAAAATCTTCAGATAAGGAAGAGGGAAAAAATGTAATCATATGTCAAAGCTTGATAACAAAAGCAAATCAAAAGTCCCATCCATGCAGGAAGCAACTAGGATCCTCCCTTTCAAGGTATGGTGTGAAATAAGGAAGAACACTTTATGTTATCCAAAAGTGTGCTAATACATGAAAAATAAAATGCTGATGGTCAAATGTACAAGGTGTACAGCTTCAAACAACAGCTGAAAACCCTGCCATTTATTCTAGAAAGGAAAAAAAAAAAAGAAAAAAAAAGGCAAATTGCTATGGGATGGAGACACAGACATAAAATCAACAGAGTTTGGAACACACAAAAGGTAGCTATTCAGACTTCAGTATTTCCAGAAAAACAGTGGAACAAGAGATGGGATTGCTCTTAGTAATGACCAAAAAAAAAAAAAAGGTACTGGAGTTTTAGGAAAATGAATAGTTTAGTGAGGAACCAGAAATGTTTCTACTGCTTGCTCAGGCCAAAGATTGCTGCCTATTCTAGTAACTTCTAAGAGTCAGCTGAGGATAGGGCACATAGAAAATCCACTGCACAAGTTGGTCCAACAGGTAATGAGGAAAGAAAAGGTTATGACATGCTTGCAGAGGAAACTGAATGATAACCCTCAGATGAGGGACTAGATACATTTTCTGAAGATGACAGGAGTTGAAAGATTTGTGGGATCTTTGTGGGGTCACCAAGTTGACTTTTTTCAGATCTTTGGGAAGGATTTTGTTAACAAGATGCTAGCAGGATGAAGGGACAGAGAGGAAAGGCAACTCTGATAGGACCAGATAAGAGAAAAGAGATGAGGAGAAGAAACCCGTGATTGAGATGACAGAAGCATGAGAATATGCAGATGAAATTATTAAAGAAAAATAATCAGTACAGAGAAGGGAGTGACTTTGGTGGAAATAAAGGAAATCTAATGGTATCAGCTGTGTTCAGTGACCCTATTGATGTTGCTCCTGTCAGCCTGATTTTTTGTGGATTGTTGTCTTGTTGTTTCCTTTATATCTCAAGTATCTAAGAAAAGGATGCAGAGAGGCATCCACTAGCTGTACAGTTCTAGTCCTGCGGCACGTCAGCACGGGTTGGCTGTTACAGGGACCCCAGCCATGCTTGCATGAAGGGTGCAGCTCCTCCTGCACCCTCATGAGAAGAGGAAGGAGAACAAACAGAAGAAAGGGTTAGAGGAGAAACATGTGAGGCTGCCTCACTGCATACCTCCCAGCCTCTTCCTTAGTCCTCCCCATACATGTGGGGATCCTGGTACAAAACAGGATCCATGACAAAGTTCTGACATAAACCTGACTGTGAGAAGTTTTTTTGTTTTGTTTTTTTTTTTAGTGAAATAATAAAATATTTTGATTTGGTGATGCTGCTACATAGGTTGCCACTGGAATGGGCTAGGTGCCCATTCAGCTCTTTGTGGTGTCTTTTCTGAACTGATTGCAACGGCAGCCCCTGACTATGGAAATCTGGGGATGTGACTTTTCTAAAATCAAAATAACACTCAATAAGGTGAAAAAAAATCTTTTTTTTTTTCTCCACCTTATTTATTAAGATTTCCTGCCAGGAAAAATTTTCACATTGCAGCTCCTCCGCCTCCTCCCCTTTCTCCCCACTGCCCCCTCCCCCCCCAAAAACAGTTCTTTAATAAGAAATGACTTTTTGAGACAAATAGTTCTTCCTTGAAGTGCCAAAATAGTATGATCTCCTTTATTAAGTCCTTGTTATTCATTGCTATGTTTGATAATAAAATTTATTAGCTACTAAAATCCCAGGCAGTGCAATCTACTGCAAAATACAACTAATACAACTAATTGGCACTGCAGTAACAAGTATTTCTACAGAAACAGATGTTTTGACATTTGAGAACAGGATTTTACACTGAATCCTGGGCACTCGCTCTTGTGCCCTTCTGAGAGATAGATTAAAGGGAAAGAAGACATTCAAGTTGGGTTGAGAAACCTCAACAGAGTTTTCCATTGCCCAAGGAAGGCCAAACATGTGCAAGTGAGAAAAAAAAAAGATTATTTTGACACCTATGAGTCACCTATGAAACATGAGTCCCATGTAATATAGCTAATATATTTTGCACTCAGCAGTTTATTCTGCCTGAGGATTTCAACATACTTTGAAAACACTGCACCTTGCAGAAGGGAAAAACATTCTTCCAACCACTTTCATGGAAAATTAAAACTGAATTTCATAGATCTGATTTTCATTTACTTTAAGTCTCTCTTAAGACTGTTTTGGCACTGTAAAAAGGGTATTGAAGTGCCTGTAAATCACTAAAGTTATGACTTGCTGAAGAGGTTAACCCAAGGTTTGACATAAATATAAACTGACCCATAGTTACTACAGCTAACTCTCCCAAGGCTACCTGAAGCCTTCCAGGCTGAGGGTGAAACATCTGTTGCAGGAGCAGATTGGACTGGCAACTACTGAGCCACTTAGGGCTAAAAGATATCTAAGTTTCCCCATGCATTTTTTTTTTACTGACTTTTATGTCAGCTGGAAGAAAAATGAAATGGCTGTTTGCCCAAGACTTATTCAAGCTACTGGATGTCCGGAGCACAATTCTGAGCATGCACAGGGCTGCCATGTCTCCAACACACCACAAATTTTTGCACACAGGAATTTGGCCTATGATTTGCCAGCAAAGTTACCCGAAGCTCCGGAGCTGTCTGCAGACAACCTGTCCTTTTGGATATATATTCTTATAGGTGGGTAGCAGTGCTAACACTTTCTTTACTCTGCCCTCCTAATTAATTTTAGTGCAAAGTAAGTACTGGGTATGTAGCCCAAATTTGTGCAGTTTCAGACTATGCCATTAAGGGGACCCTACTCCTCCAACGCCACCCGTGGAAACTCAGGACAATCTGTTCCCCAAAGATCAGTGACAGATCTAGAGATAAGTCCTGCACAGCAGTCCCTTATGTTTGGTCTG